TGGAGAAGGTTCTTATTCAATGGTACTTTTAGTGACTTTATAATGATTAATAAAACTTACTACTTTATTTTATTCATTTCTTTTTTAATTAGTTGATTAATTAATTTTATAAACACATTGATTATTAAAAAGATACTTCATTTTCTTTTTTTCTACAATTTAAATAAGTTAATTCTAAGTTTTTTATATATTAGCTATATTTTAACAGTTGTTTAAATATTAACTTTTTTTCTAGTAGGGTAAAAATCCTGAATAAAATAAAAAAATGGATAAAATTGTTTGTTTAATGACTAATTTAACTAAAATAGTTCATTTTATAAATTAATAAATAATTAAAATTATAAAATTTGAAATAAATAAATATATTTAAATTAAATATTGTTCATTTAAAAAATAATTAAAAAACTTAAACCATTGATTTTTTTATTTGTGTTCAAGTTTTTGAGTATAAAAACTGCTGAGAATACTCGTTTAAACTACATGTTTGTTGTTACTATAGATACTTGTTTGAACTACATAGTTGTTGGTACAAACGTTTGAACTGCACATTTGTTGGTACAAATGTTTGAACTACAGATTTGTTGGTACAAACGCTTGAACTGCACATTTGTTGATACGAATGTTTGAACTGCGCATTTGTTTGGTTCGATACACATTTGTTGATTTTATATTTGTGTTCAATATTTTGACACAAAAACTGCTGAGAATACTTGTTTGAACTACACATTTGTTGTTACTATAGATACTTGTTTGAATTACAAATTTTGTACAAATGTTTGTATAATTTGTTGGTACAAATGTTTAAACTACAGATTTGTTAGTTCAATACACATTGGTTGATTCGATAGATAATAATTAATTATATGCTTTATGAAGGTGATCAGTTCTTGTGTCTCTTTCAAATTACTTAATTTTTTATTAAATTTTAGAAGTTATTCTTTTATGATAAATGGGTTTTGTACTGCTGACCTTTTTTCTAAAACTTCATTTAACTTCATTAATGGTTTCATTCATTTTAATTAAATTGTCAATATTAAAATTTAGTCCTAAATATAGAATGCCTTTTTAATACAATATTTTTTTTGTTGCCAAATCTTTTTAGGCATAATCAACAAATTGATTCATTAAGTTTTACAATCCATAATTGAATGAATGACTTTTCTTAACTCAAAAAAAATAAATTGTTCAAATCTTAAATGATTTATTATCAGTAATTAGGCTTGGTCAGGGAGGCGTGCGGTTTCATGGCTTTATATGAACACGCAAAAAATATTTTGTTTTGACGATTTGACCACAGTTTTAACATTTTAATAGAGCGCTGAAAACTTAACTTAGTTATAAAGAAACTAAAAAAACAAACTTATTTTAAAAAAAGAAAAAAATTTTCTTAAAAAATTAATGAAAAATAAAATAAAAATAGCTTAGTAATAAATAATTAAAACAAAAATGAAAAAAATTAAAACAAAACTTAACTAAAATAAATAATAAAAAGGGCTGTACCGAAATGATTTTTTTCAATTCCGGCCGGAACCTGATACGCAGGAATTCCGGCCAGAACTAGAATTATATATATGTTATTTTTTATTTTCAATATTAAATTGGATTGCACCTCATCATTTTAGCTATATAATATATATTTAACCTATTTTATTCATTTTGTTCTTGTTTAAATAATTTTGTTTTTATTAGTTTTTATTTATTGTACATATGATGAGGCTAAACAAGAAAAACAGAAAAGGGAAAAAAATTAAAAGCTGAGACACCACTAGAGAAAATTCGAAGCAGTTAAGTCACAGACACAAACTAGCATAGATGATTTTGTTCCTGAAAAAGTTTGGAATATAAAAGACTCTTGCTCCTCCAAAGTTGATCAAAGAATAATAAGTTTTATTGCGATGGGCAATCAATCTTTTTCTGTAGTTGAAGGTCAGGGGTTCATTGAATTGATTGCTCACTTGTAACCACAATACCTAGTTCCAAGTAGAAAGTTTTTTAAGAAAACAATACTACCAGCATCATATGAAAAATTAAAAACCGTAGTATTTAATGACACTTCTGCAACTGATCATATTTCGTTTACAACAGATATTTGGACAAATACCCATAGTAATGATACATTTATATCATTGAATGCGCATTGGATCACCAATAATTTTGTTAGAAAAGATTGTGTTTTACACTGTAAGAATTTTCCAGGGTCCCACACTGGAATAAATATTGCTAATTTATTTGATGCGATGCTAGTTGATTGGAATATTTCCAAAAAGAAAATACATATTGTCCTTCGAGACAGTGCTTATAACATGCAACTTGGAATTGACTTGACCGAGTCCTCAGGCATCTCATGTTTTATTCATTAACTGCAGCTAATTATAAAAGAAACCCTTTTTGACCAGGTTGCAGTATACCACATGATGTGTCACTTTAATGTACTAATGAGTAAAGTATATGTTTTGTCTATAGCTGTTGATCCAAGGTAAAAACTTTTCTTCTGATGAGCAAAAACGTTTGGCTAAAAGTTGTCTTTTGTCTGAGATAAAGGATCAAATAAATGAACAAAAAGGTATTAATATGAATAATATGTCAGAATCAGATTCATCTTCCTTCGATAATTCTAATTCCTCACCAACCAATAAAAGTTGTCAGCCATCTACATCAGCTTTATATGCATCAAATTTAAGAATGACAATCACAAAAAGTTTTCTTAATTGCTATGAGCCAGAAGAAGAAAGAAAAAGTAGAAAAAAGGAAAGAAAAATTATTGGAATAACAGATGAGGAGATAAAAAAAGAAATAGATTGTTTTATGGCTGAGAAAGGAATACGTAAATTAGAAAATGAAGAAGCAGTATTAAAATGGTGGAGTGCTAATAAGGATTACTATCCTCATATATGCTGTATAGCAAGAAAACTTTTGTCAGGCCCTGCTTCATCTGTTTATTTAGAGAGACTGTTCTCAGAGGTAGGTAACATTTTTGAGGAAAAAAAAGCTAGTTTGTTGCCAAAAGCTGGAGAGCAACTCTTGTTTTTGCACCACAATATTCCTAAATTTCCAGAAATCCTTAATTGATTAGTGCCCACTAATTAATTTAGTAAGGATTTCTGGAAATTTAGGAATATTATATTTCCAGAAATAAAATTTCATTGTGTTCATTTATAAATTTGTATTTTTTACCTAGGTTAAACTATTGTTAGTTATTTTGTACCAAGGTTTAGTTATTGTTGGTTATTTGTTACCTAGGTTTGGCTGTTGTTGGTTATTTTTTACCTAGATGTAGCTATTGTTGGTTATTTTATTACTAATAAAGTTAGTTTATTGTTTTATTGTTGGTTATTTTTTTAATAAAGTTAAAAAAAATTCTGGCATTCTAGCTTTAATTATTGTAATTCCGGCCAGAACTAAGAACTGAATATCACAAATTCCGGCCGAAATGGAGTTCCGGTACACCCCTAATAATAAACAATAAGATAATAAACAATGAGATAATTATGTTTGAAACAAATAACTTTGAATCTTTACTAATTTTTTTATAATGTAAAACTAGTAGTGTCTTGTCTGCTTTATTACCGCACCATATAAAATTATATTAATAGTAAAAAAAAAAGTTAGTACTAATTTACAAAAAAATCTAAATAAACACTTTTGTTTTTATGAAAAAATTCATCGCGCATTAGTGGTATTTAAAAAAAAAACGATTAAACTTAAGGAGGTAACTATTTTTAATGACACTTTTTTTAATTATTTATTTATTTAGGAGGAGGGAGGTGGGTTTCACAAAAATGATGACTGACTTTTAAACAAAAAAAATGTTTTTTCTTTATTATATAGACGTAGCGAAACAAAGTAACAATTTCCAACAATTTTTTAATAAATACGCAAGACTATTGATAGAGGCAGGTAACATTTTTGATGGAAAAAGAGCTTGTTTGTTGCCCAAAACTGGATAGCTATTTTTTTTGCACTACAATATTCCTAAACTTTCTAATCCTATTCCTAAATAAGTGATTACTGCAAATAAAATTAGACAAAGCTTTAGGTATGCGGTCTAAAATAATTTTATTTTATCTCTTATTACGCTTTTGCTGCTTCAAGGTAGTGCTGCTACATCCATTACCTTATAGCCTGCTGCTACAAAGGAGTGCTACTACATTCATTTTCTTAGCCTGATGCTACAAGGGGGTGTTGCTACATGTCTTATAGCCTGCTGCTATATGGGAGTGTTGCTACATCGACTATCTTATAGCCTGCTTCTACAAGGAAGTGCTGCTACATTGACTAAGGATTTGGTATAGGGCAGTAATCGTTTTTCTTTTATTATTTCAAAGTTTTTGTTTAAAAACTCTCCACTAACTAGAGCACAACAAGTGAAAAAATAAAATTAATTTTAAGTGCAAAACTGTATTTTTACCTAAAATTACATTGTATTTGTTAAGAATTTTGTAATTTATACATAGGTTTACCCATAGTTCTTTATTGCCCTGTAGGACAATGATTTTTTGATTTAATTTACACAGATTGTGTCATATAAATAGAGTAAAAAATAAATTTCTGCATTCTAGCCTGAAACATTGTAATAAAGGCCAGAACCGGAATGACCTAAAAGTCACAAATTCCAGCCGAAATCCCGGTACATCCCTATATGGAATATTGTTGTCATTTTAGACTAGTTTTTCTAATGACGTTCTTTCTTCAAGACAATCCAATGTGCATTGTAATGTTGTTAGACCTGCTTTATCTGCCAAGCTGCAGGCTGGATCCATGCTCTGTTTCATTGTCACAAGATTGCTTTTTTTTTTAAATATACAACTTTTTTAGGCACTCAGACATGTGCATCTTTTAGTGCTGACACACTCTAAGTACTGTTTTTAAAAGTGTGTTTTAATTAAGAGATATTCCAAAAGTCTGGTAATATTTCTTATGCTGATTTTATTCTATTTTATTTAAAATTTAAAATTTTAAAAACTTAATAAATTTATGTTTTTTAAAACAAAACTCTTTGTCTGTTGATTGTTTTTTGAGTTGTTTAAGGAATATGAGTGAATAAGTTTGAACTTTTTAAAAAAATTTGTTTTTATAAATAGGAGCTATTACCTGAGTGATGACAAAAAAATTATATGTTGTTGCACATGTGAACTATCATCATTTGTTCCATCAACCAGGTGTCAATATTGCATGATTTTTTTGTACTTACATAAATCCAAAAGTGTTTTAACTTAAGTTCTAATAGTTTTTCAACTCATAAATTTTCATATTCGTATATCTGTGATGCCTAAAAAGTACGCTCACCAGGTGTTAAGGAAAAGGCTTTTTTAAATTTGGTTATTGTTTTTATTATGGCTTTTTTTTTTTTTGCTTCTAGTAGTGTAGCACCATTTTTCTGATAATATTGCATAACTTAAAAACATTTTTATATCTAGCTAGCATATCAATAGAACTAAAAATTATACTTATTGATAAATCATTTTTTTTGTCCAAGCTTTCTCAGGAGACAAGTGCTGTCACGCGCTCTATATGACCATGCAAATAATTTTTTGCATATATTAAAAAATAAAGCATTTTAAAAATGCGCTGAAAAAACCAAACTAATTTCATATATTATTTCATTATTATTATTAACTTATTATTATTAACTTATTATTATTATTATTTTTAAGAAAATAAAATCATAAAAAAAATTTTTATTATACTAAAATATATATATAATTTTTTAATTTTCAATTTAAAATTAGACTTGCATAGGCCTGTATCTGCTTGTAAACCATTATTAAGGTTGATTGATAAGATAAAAGATCTAAATTTTTTTTAAGAAGTTTTTTGTGCGTGTTTGCTACTTTACTAAATACTAAAGTAAAACATGTGGGTGGATTTTGTCACTGTCTTGAGATGTTTTGGAAAAAGTGGGGAAACTACACAAAATTAAAGGAATAATGATGAAAAAAAAGTTAATAAATTTATTTTGGAACATCAAGTAATGACGTCTGGTGAGAGATTTTTTTCAAATCAGTGTGTTGTCATGCATTATAATGATCTGAAACATACCAACATAATCTGCCACAGTTATTTAAAAAACATTCAAAGCCAGCGAATGATAAAAATAATGTAATGGCTACCACAATTGCCAGACTTAATCCCATTGAGTTACAATGAAAAAAACTTGGGATTAATGTGAGAAAAGAGTAGCCATCTCCTGAAAATAATTTTTGGCAAGTGACGTATTGCAAGTCAAATGCAACTTGAAACAGTAAATTGTTTGATTGCACATCGAAAGTTTGTGCAGCAAATAATAAAGAAGGTTATTTTTACAAAAAACCTTATTAAAATGTTAAACTTAGTTAAAATTAAAGGTTATTGATAAAAAATGTTAAATAATATTTAGTTCTTCTAAACACAAAAATTAAAGTACAAATTAGACTTAGATTTATTAATTAGTTTCGAAAAGTTCAGTACTGGCCTCAAACTATTTGTTTGTTGAATATATTATGTCGCCTAAGTTTTAGTGTTTTGACAATGTACAAGCTAAATTAAGTACATATTAAAATAATAATTTTCAAATAAAAATGATGTAAAGCAACATTTATGTTGGTTATTTTATATGCAGTATGTTACTTTTTAAATATAACATAATGATTATATAGGCTCTCTTTTTAGGTTGTCAATGCTAAAGAGATCAAAACAAACAAAGAATATGCAAGTATGTGAGGCTTTTTGTCAAAAATACTAATAGGTTTTTAGGAAGGAAAATTTTTATCTTGCAGTTTATCTGTATGTGTGTGTATATTTATACTCTTGTCCGGTTACTAAAGTAGCGCTCAAAATAGTTATTTGCAGGTTGTTAATCAACACTGATCTGCAAAAATGACAAGCATTGAGAAGTAGGCATTTAATTATCAAATAATTTTCAGATTATCAAATTTTCCTCAAATTTTTACTTTAACCAAATAGCATACAAATTGTTTTCAAATTGTTTGCTCGAATATCAATCCAAATCAATTGTGTTTTAAGAAAATTCAGGCTTTGCATTATTCAGTTGACTAATCTAAATCAATTTATGTTTTCAAACTTGTTTTTTTTTTCTTTTTAAATGTCATTTTCTCTCTGATTGTGTGGGCCTTTGTACTGCATCACTGGCCCATAACTCGGTAGCAGAACTCAAATCAAATAAGTTTATAGTAACCCCTTTACAGTAACTCCTTAACCCAATACAGTAACCCCTTTGTGTTTAAAAAACCCAATTTATTGCTGAATTCATTTTTTCTTATTCTGAGGGCTATATATATATATATATATATATATATATATATATATATATATATATATATATATATATATATATATATATATATATATATATATATATATATATATATATATATATATATATATATATATATATATATATATATATATAGTTAAGAGCACAAAGGGAATATGTTTAACATTTTACGGTTTTGAGTTATTGCGAGTTATTTATTATAAAGTATGTAAAAAAAAATGAAAATAAAATAGTAAAAAACAAGACAAAATTAATTGAGGAATGCATTTGGTTAAAAATCATGACAATAAATAAATGTCATGAATTACTGTATGTTTTCAAACTTTCAAATTCAGATTTCTCAAAACAGTGGTTAGTGGATGTATTCCCTTTGTGCTCTTAACCATCAATATATATATATATATATATATATATATATATATATATATATATATATATATATATATATATATATATATATATATATATATATATATATATATATATATATATATATATATATATGTATATATATATATATATATATATATATATATATATATATATATATATATATGCAACACTATTGTTACACAAAGAAAACTCTAAAAAACTCATAGTATGCCTAACACAGAATAGTTAATGAAATATGGGGTTGTAAATCCTGCAGCTTTCAAGCAACTGTTTTTGGAAAAAATTGTTTAACTTGATGTAAAAATGCAGAAAGTATGCAAAGCTCCTAAATAAAATATCTAACCTGCCATTGGCTAAGTATAGAACTCTTGTGCTGACCTGAAATCCGTTGAATTTATCTCACTATCTTCAGGATGACGTTCTCTCTATTGCTAGACGGCTGGAACATTGCACCACTGCTTGACAATTAAAAAGTTGTTTTCCTCAACAAATTTCAATTGAAAAATTGAAATCCGATGAGGAAAAGGAATAAAATGTTAAAAAAATAGTATATAAAAATTCAACATTACTATATACTATATAATTATTATTATTATAATAAATGGTAATGTTATTTTTTTATTTTTTAGTCAAAATTCTAGTGAAGCAGCATATCATTCGTGAAAAAAAAACTCAATTTGTAACTCGTGAAAAAGAAATTTTATCTATGACCAATCATCCATTTATTGTCAAGTTGTACTTTACATTTCAAGATCAAGATAATTTATGTATCTTTATTGTATAATTTATGCAAGTTGTGAATGATTATTTTAGATTTCAAGGTTGTGTTTAGAGTGTTATTTTGGATTCTGTTTAATATGTGTGCATTGATAAATTTTTTTAGAGTATATATAAATGTATATATTTTTACACTACATTTTGCTTAACTCTGTTATAAGATATCGGTTTAAGTTTAGCCAAAAAAGGTTCGCTGCAGCCATACATTGTTAAAGTAAGCCTAACTTTTCTTTTTACTTTTTTTACTTACCAAGCATGCATTGTTTTGCTTAGACATGTTGTCTTATCTACATTGCTTTTAATTGCATTTTTATAAGCAACAGTATTTTGTAATATACAAATATATAAATATTTTAATGATAAATTGAATTTTATTGTCAAAATGTTTATGTTTATCAAGTGAATTTGTTTTTGTTGTCATAAAAACAAATTTGTACTTGATAAAAAAAATTAATAAATCACACTCCAAAATATCAATAAAAAAGTATCATATGATATTTTTGAATAGCTTCATATTAGTCATATTTTTGGTCATATTTTACCTTTGATTTGTGATATGATGAGAAATCAAAGGTTGAATATAATGACATTTGATTTTTGTACAAAACATTTTCAGATAGATGCATTTGATGAAGTATGCACCTGTTTTTATGTTTTAGGTGCATTTGATGAAGTATGCACTCGTTTTTATGTTTTAGTTAGGTGCATTTGATGAAGTATGCACTCGTTTTTATGTTTTAGTTAGGTGCATTTGATGTAGTATGCACTCGTTTTTATGTTTTAGTTAGGTGCATTTGATAAAGTATGCACTCGTTTTTATGTTTCAGTTAGGTGCATTTGATAAAGTATGCACTCGTTTTTATGTTTTAGTTAGGTGCATTTGATGAAGTATGCACTCGTTTTTATTCAGCTGAGATTATTGTTGCAGTTGGTTATCTTCATGATTTAGGAATAATACATAGGTATACATATTTAAATTTTTTTTTTCCTCTGTTGTTTCTCTCTCTTTATCTTTATTATTATTATTTTTTTTAATTGCTACTAGTTTTCACTTTTAATTGACCATTATTTTTTTTATTAGAAAGTAATTTTCATTTAAAAGTTAAAATATTGTGACTACAAATAATATTAGTTCTGTGACACATTCCAGAGTCTGAATTTTTTTTCTAAACCTGAATTTGAATCTGAAGTTAAATTTTAATTGTAGAAAAATAGTAATTTGTAAAAATTGTAAAAATAGTTTTATTTTTTCCTTTTTTTTCAACCTTACTCTTCATAGCTCCATTTCACTGGTAATAAAAAAGAATAAAACAAAGAACAATAAAAAAAACTCTATATTCTCTAATCATAAAAAATGATAAAAGTCCTTTATATTTAGATAGTAAATACCAAAACCCAAACCCTTAGTCGATGCATGTATTGAGCCCTAGCATTAAAGGCGCATGAGGTTCCTCAGCAACTTACGCAATTTACCTAGTAGAAGGAAAACTCGGATATAAAACCAATAATATAATTGTTGGTAGGAGATTGTAAATACTGGATGCTAATCTTCCAGGTGGTAGTATCATAATAAAAATATTCAGATTTGCAACAGGTCAATGGCGACCATCTTATTGTAAGAATTAAGGTTAATGCTAGGAAGGCCATCCAATTGTAAGAATTAAGGTTAATGGTAGGAAGTCTATCTAATTGTAAGAATTAAGGTTAATGCTAGGAAGGCCATCCAATTGTAAGAATTAAGGTTAATGCTAAGAAGGCCATCTTATTGTAAGAATTAAGTTTAATGCTAGGAAAGCCATCCAATTGTAAGAATTAAGGTTAATGGTAGGAAGTCCATCAAATTGTAAGAATTAAGGTTAATGCTAGGAAGGCCATCCAGTTGTAAGAAAGTTGTTATAATTATTTTGATTCATATTTAAATAAGAGAATGACATTATGGAAACTTGTTCAAACCAATAAGTTGTTGAACATTTAACTTAGTAATTTTTTTCTTTACAGAGACCTTAAACCTGAAAATATTTTATTAAGTGAAGATATGCACATCAAGTTAGCTGATTTTGGAACTGCAAAACTTTTAAATTCCTCGCAAAATATAGGTGAAAGTATGTATTTTTAATATATGTTAGCTTATTATTCATTAAAATGCAACAAAAGATAATTTAAAACATGTTTTATCATATAAATACAAAATTGAATTTTTTTCAGAGAAAAAGAACTCATTTGTTGGTACTGCTCAATATGTTTCACCAGAATTACTGACCCAAAAGTTATCAAGTAAAAGGTAAAATTTTTCTGTTACAAAAATGAATAAACAGTATTTTCTTGTTAAGGGTTGCAATTATTAATATTTTCCTTGGGTTTTCTGGACTGTGCCATTATCTAATACTCAAAAAAAAATTTATTTACCTTTTAATTTTATTTCTATTAATAAGACTTTTTTTTATAATTTATTAAACACGCCTTTATTATCTATGGTGTTGTGCTTATTTTTTTTTTATGCCCATATGACTTTAAAGCTTAAATATTGACAAGCTAAGCTTGGTTAGTACCATTTGGTTAGTACCAGGGTTTTATTTGCCACTTTTTTGTCTTTAAATCAAACCCTAACAATTTATCACTGCATATTTTCAAGATAACCATAAATAGTGTTGTTGTTTTTTATTATTAGCTCTGATTGGTGGGCTTTAGGCTGTATTATTTATCAGCTACGAGCTGGTCGACCTCCTTTTCAGTGTGGGTAAGAATTCTTTATGTTTTTTTAGTAATTATGGTAAAATTTTGATGACTATATATAAAATTAAATAATTATTTAAAAAAATAAGTTTTCTCTATAGGTTTTTATCATGATAAACAAATAAATATGTTAAATAATCATGATAAACAAATAAATATGTTAAAGATAAGAAATATAATGCACACTATAAAATGAAAAGAAAACTTTATATTAAAGAAAAGTAAATAAAAAAGTTATGGTTCATTTTTTCATTTTTATATTTTTAAAATTGATTACCGATCTGCAGAGCTGCTGATAAAAATCTATGCAAGTTTTAAAATATGTTGCAAGTTTTATTCAAATTATGCCAACACCCTAACTTGTCCAAGGATATACTGATTGTATACTGAAGCCTTTGGCTATCCCTACTTTAACATAATGTCATCATTGAATGTCATCATTGGGATTTTTATGAATTCTTGGTATAAATCAGCAGAATAATCTGTTATTTTCTAAAAAATGTAATAAAATTAAAAAAAAAATAATAAAATAAAGCAAAACTATAAAATAAAGCAAAATAAAGATTATTTGCGTTTAGCCTAATTATAATTGTAATCATTTTTGAGATAATTTTTTTTTTCTGAACAATTTATGTTTTTTATTCTTGTATTTCTTTTTTTTTTGTTATTTCTTTTGAAATGTTTATTATTTTTGTTTTAGAAATGAATACCAAACTTTCTGAACAATTTATGTTTGTTACTTTTTGTTTTAGAAATGAATACCAAACTTTCCAAAAAATTATTAAACTAGAATATACATTTCCAAAAGGTTTTCCAGATAAAGAGAAAGTCTTAGTGGAGAACTTACTTGTAATTTCTTTTTTATTTTTTATATTCATATTTAAAGTTTTAAAATACATTAATAAAAAATTTTGATATTTTGTAATGTTATCCTATCTTCATTTTTAGGTTTTGGATCCTGAAAAAAGATATACTTATGATGATTTGATAAATCATCCATATTATGATGGTAATATTAATTTATTTATTTTTATGTTTTTTTTTTTTTTTTTTTTTTTTTATGTTTTTTTTGTTATTACTAACTTCAAAAAGAAAAATTAAAAATTTTGTTTCTGCTTTTGGAAACAAAATTAAAGCTTTTCTTAAAAATAGTAAACAAAGTTCTTCAAAACAAAGATAAACAAAGATCATCAAATAAACAAGAAAATTTAATTAATAAATGAAAACAGTAAATTAATATATCCTTGCATAAATAAACAAGATAAAATAAACAACTAGTCTTACAAAAATAACTTTTTCAAAATTTGTTGAAATGTGTTACAATGTATACTTTATGCACACCTTTAATATTTTTAGATTTTAGACTTTACTTTAATATGTTCTAAATAAGTGATTTTTTACAAGATAAATCAGTAATCCCTTTTCATACAAAGACAAAAGAATAATGAAGGTAGAAAACTATTCTGTTTTATATTCTGCTAGGTAGAAAACTATTCTGTTTTATATTCTGCTGTAATAAATGTCTTTCATACATGTAGTCTATTCCCAAACCATGGTTTGATGTATTTAATGAGGCCCATTGATGGCTATTTTTGTATGGCCTTATAAATGATGTTTTATGTGCAGCCTAATCCACATTTATATATATATATATGTATATATATATATATATATATATATATATATATATATATATATATATATATATATATATATATATATATATATATATATATATATATATATATATATATATATATATATATATATATATATATATATATATATATATTGAGTACATAGTGTATATTACATAAAGTATGTGTGTGTGTATATATATATATATATATATATATATATATATATATATATATATATATATATATATATATTTATCAGCTCTCGCAATAATTATTTATAGGTTGCTGATCAATGCTGATCGGCTAAAAAGATAAATATTGAAAAGTAGACGATCAAATAATTTTCCGGACAATCAAATATTTTTGCTAGTTTGGATTAAAATTTTATGGGTAGTAATTTTTGCGTCACACTTTTTACGTTTGTGCTTGATAGCGCTGCTGTGCCACTTTGTTTAAAATTAAGAAACAATAAAAAAATAAAAAATAAAACTTACACTGGGCCTTGTTTTAAAGTGTCACGTTATAAATACAAATGAGCCTTTTAAATAACTTTTTTTAAGTGTTTCGCTGTAAATGCACATTAGGAAGCCCTTACAAAAAAAATTTTCTTTATACTTAAGCTAGACAGTTGTCTGTCTTATCAAAAAATTTATGATAAGTCAGGGTCGGCGACACAGATTTTGAGGTGGGGCACAATCATCAATTTGTGAAAAAAGTCTGCTATATATCTAGATTTTTCTTTAAAATAAATGAAAGAAAAAAAAGATCCTTTAGATAAAAATTAGGGGGGGGGGGCACATGTGCCCCCTGGGCCCCCACCCACCCACCTTCCCTCGTGTTGTCAGCTTTGTAAGTTTAAAATTTACCAAGTAAAAAATTAATCAAGTTGATCAAGTTAACTTTTGATTTCATTAAACTTTTGAACTTTTTATTTTTGAACATTCGATTTGTTAAAAAAGATTTGTTAAACAAAATCAATCTTTCAAAACATTAAAAAAAAAATTTTTTTTCTAATCACCTTAAGATATTTTTAGCACATTATAGATTGTCATTAACTTTAAGATCTTTGTTATGAATATCTTGTCCATTTATGATTATCTTTTTATATTTATATTACAAAATATTTTTGTTATATTTATAATATAAATATTTTTGTGATATTTATAATATAAAATATATTTTTTACATTCATTTAGTTAAAACTTTAGTTTAAAGTAAACGACTGTTTGCAATATTATAAACGATTGTTTATTGAAAACATTTAAAATTGACAAAAATACGCAAATTCATTAATTCAAAGTTTTTCAAACTCAAAGTTTATTAAAAATTGAAAAAAACCCGCAAATTAGATCAAAGTATATCATTCATTCAAAGTTTAATTGCAAAAATGTTTTTTTCTCTTGCGTTCTACGCAATAAAAAAAGCTTTTCTAATATTAATGATTGAACTTTTTTGGTTTCGGTTACCGAAAAAAAATGATGGTCTTTTTTAAAAGAAACGATACGAGAAAATTTTTTTTAAGAAAACATTAAAACTAACGCTAGAATATTAAAAAACAAACAAAATTTTTTCTTTCGTAAACTTTTACTTTATTTGTATTAAGTGTTTCAGATCCTGATTTCCTTTTTAAATAAATAATTTTCTGTTACTTTTTCTCGCATCTTTTTTATGATTATTTTAATACTTTTTATATAATTTTATTTCTAAAACTTATTTTCTAATAATTTTAAACAAAAACAATTTTATTTTGCTTAAAGCATTATGATGTTTTATGAAGTCAACATTCTTTCTACTAATCATAAACTTACATTATTTACTATTTTTCAAAAATTTTCACATGAAACTTTATTGATTCTAAATAATAATGCAAATTAGATTCATTAAAAAAAATTTATTTCATTAAAAATAGTTCATTAAACAAGTAATAAACTTTTTGTTTATATAAATTTTGTAAAACTTTTTAACAATTGTTTTACTTTTAACGTTTTGGTGTCTTTGTTTTACTTTTGTCTTTTTAAGATTTTTCTGAAGTTTGTTTTAAAATGTTTATGAATTTTTAATATAAAGTTTGATATGCAATTCTTAACAATCAAATTTGATCGTCCAGAATTGATTTTGGGAGATCAAAATATCATTTTTTCCTAAAGTAGACGATCATTGATCAGCCGCTATTTCGAGCTCTGATATATATATATATATATATATATATATATATATATATATATATATATATATATATATATATATATATATACTAGTAGTAGTAGAAAAATTGCTGCAACAGGTTTCCCTGTATAACCTACAGGTTTTGACAGCCTTATGTACTTCATACACTAATTTTATTCATATCAATATATAAAAATTTACAATAAGATATATAGTATGAAATATAAGTTTGTACTTTATTTTTTTCCTTGATGAAGCGCATACAACTTCTGACAGTAATGCATTCCAATGATTCACTATTCGATTAGTAAAAAACCGGTGCCTTTGCTCACATTTTTGAACACATTCTCTAGTCATTTTTAGATGATGTCCTCTAGTTTTTATTTTAATTGACTCCCCAACATGAAGGTGTTCACTCCATGAGACAATGTCTATATTGTTAATAATTTTATAGGCCTGTATCAGATCTCCCCTAATGCGACGAGTTTCTAAAGACGTTAAGTTTAGTATATTCAGACGATCTTTGTATGACATATGACAGTACGAAGGTATTAAACTGGTAGCTTTTCTTTGTACTTTCTCGATTTTGTCAATATCTATTCTTGATGATGGATTACTGGCTGCTACCGCAAATTCAAGATGTCGTACAAAGGTTGTATATAGAATTTTAAGTAGTTGCGGAGTCATGTGACAGAAAGTACGATACAACATGCCTAATACACAGTTAGCTTTATGGTTGCAAAACGGTTGCAAAAGTTGAATTGTTATGCCATTTTAGTTATGGTGTAATCATGATGCCTATATCACGTTCGACTAAAGTCGATGATAGTTCGACACTGTTATTGTCATTAGCTGGCATTGAGTAGACATAAAAGTTGTTTTTTTTACCTATAATATGTTTAGATAAGCATTTGCTTATTAGTTTTACTTACCTTTATAGCATATGGCTTTTTCAGATAAAGAAAAAAAAAAAAGAAAAGTGTGAGAAAAGATTGGTGCCCCATGTCAAACCCTTATTCAATGTTGTGGCACTCATTTGCAGCAGCAGGCTTTAAAATTGTTGACATATGTCAGCAGCAGGCTATAGAATAGTTGACATATGTCAGCAGCAGGCTCTAAAATAGTTGACATATGACAGTAGCAGGCTATAAAATAGTTGACATATGTCAGCAGCAACCTATAAAATAGTTGACATATGTCAGCAGCGGGCTATAAAATAGTTGACATATGTCAGCAGCAGACTATAAAATAGTTGACATATGTCAGCAGCAGGCTATTTCAGTGTGAAATCACAGTGCTTATCTAAATCTTTTATAGTTGTATATTTATATATATTATATATTGTATTATTGTATATTTATATATAATATGTCAAACCCTTATTCAATGTTGTGACACTTATTTGCAGCAGCAGACTATAAAATAGTTGACATATGTCAGCAGCAGGCTATTTCAGTGTGAATCTAAATATGCATTTATAGTTGTATATTTATGCACACACATTAATATAAAGATGCACATATACTTTAATTTAACATTTAACATGTGGCTTGGACTTGTTTCCCTAATCGTATTTTTTTATTTAAGTAAAAAAAGAAAGTAAAGAGTTAAAGAAATTTTTTACAACCAGATGTTTTTCCTGGTGTTAACCTTTTTAGCAGATAAAAACTTATGTAATTTATGATGATACAACCACTAGGAGGATAACCATCCAAGGTTTGTGAATTCTATCTGATTTTAGAATCCTCTTTAATAGAATGAATAATCTGATTTTAGATCAGATTTCTCATTCTACTAATGAGGTAAATCTTATCACACTACTTCTAATGAGGTTGTCTTCACAGCTAAGAAGCCTCAACCGTCTTAATATAGCAACAGTTAAATGTCATGACAAAGATGTCTGATATATATTATTTATACACATAAATAATCTTTTTTGTCAAAATAAAAAAAGATTTACATTTAGATAAATATTAAAAGTTAAAGTTGAATATTATTTTTAAAATCTCTATAAAAATACACTTCTTTTAAGACCCAGATTGACATACTTTAGATAAAAATTTTGACAATATTAGTGATTTTACTTTAAATGCTAAAGATTTGAACCCTAATATCTTTACAACTTAACGTGATGATGAAAAATGAGTTGCAGATTTGAAATCAAAATAAGAAATGCTAAACAAAAAACAAATTGTTTGCTTGGCACCAAAAAAAAAATTTTTTTTGTTTACCTGTATAGTTATTAAATTTTGTGATAACAACAGTTAACTGTTTTTAAAAAGCTGAAAATTTGAAGACCAGAATTATTTCTAGATATCGCAGTCATCTAATTCCCAGTCATCTAATTTTTGTATGTGTATGATTATTTATGTATAATATTTGTTTATTTAATTATTTTAATCTAATTTTTTTTATAGGTATTGATTTCCAAAACCTTCATTTGCAAACTCCTCCTAAGTTGATGATATATCTGCCATCCAATGTACCAGGACAACCTGGAATATATGAAGAAGTAAATGTATGTATCAAAAAGTTTAAAATTAAAAATACCTTTTAAATATATATATGCATGTGTGTGTGTGCTATAAAAATATACATATATATATGTGTGTATGTGTGTGTGTGTTATAAAAATATATATATATACATACATACTAGAGATGTACCGATTAAGCAGCATCGGATCGGCTTAATCGGCCACTTTTTGCACAATCGGTATCGGTATCAGCATCGGTCTTTCCTTATCAATTTACCGATTTTCCAACCGATGGCATTTTTATATTTTTATCCCTAAAATTGTATTTATTTTTTAAAAGTTTTCTTTTCATAGTTAAAAAAAAGTAAAAAATGTATATTTATTTGATTGAGCTTTTCTAATATCTTTTGAAATAAAGGTTTGACTCTGATTTGGGTCCAAGTATTTCCTTACCAGTTCTGATTCCATGAAAAATTTTACACGATTTAAAGTTGTATGGTTTTATATTTTCAAATTATAATAGCTAGTTAATCTATCGGTATCGGCATCGGTATCGGCCTTTTCCTATCCATCGGCATCTGCTAAAAATGTGCAATCGGTACATCACTAATACATACATATATATATGTAAATGTGTGTATATATATGTATATATATATATATATATATATATATATATATATATATAAATATATATATATATATATATATATATATATATATATATATATACATATATATTTATATATATTCTATATATATTATTATATATATATATATATTTATATATATTCTATATATATTATTATTATATATATATATATATATATATATATATATATATATATATATATATATATATATATATATTTATATATATTCTTGACTCGATTCATGGGTTTTACTTGTGTCTCTGTTTTTATGACTAGGCAACTCATTCTATTATCTCCAAATGAGGGTACAGCTCTAAAACTCAGTTTTATGGTTCTGAGGCCAGCTGGTAGTCAGGTTTCCCGAACTCTGTGGTAGCTCTCAGAGAGGCTGATTCCATCAACAGCTGAAAAATATCAGAGTACTAACAGTGCCATGTTGCGCATGGATGGTGTCCCTGTTTGTACTTTTGGTGTAAAAACGAATAAAGTAACAAAAACTATAAAACACAAAAAACCACAGTCATCACCAAGTTCGCTAAACCTATCATTCACCAATATTCGTGGTCTTCCAAGTAACTTTTCTTCTGTTGAGTCTTATCTCTTGCAAAGTTCACCAGACCTGCTTGCTCTTTATGAGACTAATTTGAGTTCAGCTTTCTCATCTTGTGATCTTAGTTTTGATGGTTATATTCCTTTAATTCGTAAAGACTCCAATAGTCACATGCTTGGCCTGGGCATTTACATTCGTAAGAGTTCACCCATTTGTCGGGAAACTAGGTTTGAATCCACAGACTACTCTTTTATGTGCTTTCGTTTAGCATCACTTCACTCTATCACCTTTCTATTTGTTCTACATCGCTCTCCCTCATCCCAAGACTGCACTCTTCTTGATGTTATTTCTGATTATATTGACCAAGCCCTCATTCTTTATCCATCAGCCAATATTGTTGTCGTCGGTGACTTTAATGTTCATCACACTGAATGGCTTGGCTCTAGTGTCAGTGACTCTGCAGGCATTAAGGCCCACAACTTTTGTCTTTCTCAATCTCTAACTCAAATAGTCAACTTTCCAACCCGCTTTCCAGACAACCCGAATCATTTACCTTCTCTACTCGACTTATGTCTTGTTTCTGATCTTAGTCAGTGTTCAGTTTCTTCACACTCACCCTTAGGTGCGTCTGATCATGGTTTGGTCTCTCTAAAACTATTATCTCATTCTTCTTTGCCATTAGAATCCCCCTATCATCGTACATCTTACAACTACCTTAAAGGGATCCCTAAGTGCTCCTAACATATGATCTCATATGAAAGAGCATAAAAAAAAATATGTAAGTTTTTTTTCTTTTTCACTAAATTGTAATAATAAATGCATGCTAACAAAAAGCAATTGCCGAAATCACTAAAAAACAACTCCATTTTGATTTTATTTTTTCACCATTGAAACTCGATTGTTAGTCGTTAAAAATCACGTTAGTACGTCACAACAACTATAGAATATCTACTTCGATTTTCAAGTAAAAAAAAGTCGTGATTAAATAGTTAAGTTTTTTTAATTAGTTTTGCAAAAACATAATAGCATTCGGTTGAAAGACGTCGCTAAAAAAAGTTATTAAGTAATAGTTTTAAATAGTTTAGAACTTATAAAAAAGTCTTACAGGGCTCGTATTAAGCGTATCGCGATCGCGATTGCTACACACACTTTTGTGATTAGTTTTTTCTTAAAAGAAAATCTTTTCGCGACTGTTTTTTTTTTTGGTTGATTAATTACTTTTTTTCTAGCTTAGCTTTTTTTTTAACAATTCTTAAAAGAAATGTTTTTATCATAAAGAACGTCACACAAAATTTATTATTCTGAATAGATAGATGAATTGATGCTCTTTCGCGTGGAGATTTTCTTTCAACGTAAAACATTTTTGAATTTAAATTACTTTAAATCTCTGCGTGGAAAATTTTTACAAGGTCGTTAAAGTTGAAAAGTTGGTTTTTATCTTTGTTTATCAAAGCTTCATGTTTAAAATGGCTTAAAAGCGTTAGAGCAAAAAAATTACTGACTTTTATTTGCATTTTTATACTGTTTGAAAAAAAAAACTAATAAAAAAGAATTAATATATAATTATTAATTAATATATTATTAGTTGATTCTTTTTCATTAGTTTTTTTTTTCAAACAGTATAAAAATGCTAATAAAAACCAGCAATTTTTTTACTTTAACGTTTTTAAGCCTTATTTTCATTAAACATGAAGTATAATTCGATTTATTAAACCCATTTTTTTTGTTTTATCTTTTATTGGAAAACTTGAAATAGAAAAATTGAATAAAAACATCAACCATTTAAATGAAAAACTTAATTATATTTAAACTTTTATTAGTCCTTTATTCAAGAAACAATAAATTATAAAAAAGGTGTATCTAATTTTTTATTAAATTTTTGACGATGTTTTTTGATTTATTGACGATAAATTCCCCCCCCCCCATTACCGCACATCGGCGCGAGCTATAAGAGAGAGAGGAGGGGGGGAGAGAGCAAAAAAAAAAAAAAATTTTTTTTCGCGATTAGATTTTTTTGCGTTAGTTCGTCTTAGTTTAATTTCTAATAAAATGTCTATTCAACTTTATCAATTTGAACCAAAAAAATATAGAAATTTAACATAAATGTTAATTTAACTAAAACATTTTACAATCATTATTTTTTTTATCAATCAAAAATGAGAGTAACCGTCACTTTTGAAACCATAAAAATTACTGAAATAAAATTTTGACTTCTATTCATTTTTAGCCGTGGAATTGCCCTTATAACACAAATATATAAATTATTTAAAAAAATTTAATATACAAATATATTTTCACAAAATGTTACAAAACTTATTCTTGTAAGTAATTATGTGTTAGTTGAAAAAAATCGACTTTACTTTTAAATTTAATTACCAACTAATAAGTTTGCAATAATGACATTTTGTCTACTTTGTTTAATTTGACGTACTAACGTTAGTTTTTTGAGGCAATAGAGTCAATAAAACTTTGGACAAGACGCATTTTTTTAATCGAAGAAAAGCGTTTTTTTGAAAATTAAATTTGTTAATGTGTGTTCATTATTACGTTTTAGAAAAAATAATATACATCAAACATTTTTTTTTTAATGCTCTTTCATATGAGATCATATCTTTATAGCACTTAGGGATCCCTTTAAAGCTGACTGGGACTCTTTTCGTGACAACATACCTGGCCTGGACAACATACCTGTTATAGTCTTGCAGAAGTGTTCTCCTGAGCTGTCGTCTATCTTTTCAAAACTATTCAACAAGTGCTTATCAGAGTCTTGTTTTCCAGCCTGCTGGAAAGCAGCATCTGTTATCCCTATTTTTAAAAAATCTGGAGAGCGATCTGGCTCATCTAACTACCGTCCCATTAGTCTTTTTCCTATCATAAGCAAGGTTTTTGAATCTTTAATTAACAAACACTTAATCTCTCATCTCGAATCTCATAACCTACTTTCTGATCATCAGTATGGATTTCGATCTTCTCGTTCTACGGCTGATTTGCTATCAGTAATAACCGATAGGTTTTATTGCGCATTAGATAAAGGTGGAGAGGTTAAGGCCATTGCTCTTGACATTTCTAAAGCGTTTGATAAAGTTTGGCATGCTGGTCTCCTCCATAAGCTTTCTTCTTATGGTGTATCTGGAAACATCTTTAAGATTATTGAATCCTTCCTTTCCAATCGTAGTATAAAAGTTGTCCTTGATGGACAGCACTCTTCTTCTTATTCTGTAACCTCAGGGGTTCCCCAAGGTTCAATCCTTGGCCCTATACTCTTTTTAATTTACATTAACGATCTTCCAGATATTCTCACATCTAAGGTGGCATTGTTCGCTGATGATACTACCATTTATTCTTGTCACGATAAGAAGCCTACTCCCTCTGATTGCTTGCAGGGGGCATCTGAGCTCGAAAAGGATCTCACTTCTGCTACAGCATGGGGCTCGCAGTGGCTGGTGAACTTTAATTCAGATAAAACTCAATTTTTTTCGGCCAATCGTTATCGCAATAATTTAGACCTTCCTATATTTATGAACAGTAATGTACTCAATGAGTCTCCTACCCTTCATCTTCTAGGATTAACTCTTACTTCTGATATTTCTTGGAAACCTTATATCAAATCCGTTGCAAAATTAGCATCTTCTTAAGTTGCTTCTCTTTATCGAGCTCGTCACTTTCTTACTCTGGATTCTATTCCTATCTCTATAAATCTCAAATCTGGCCTTGTATGGAATACTGTTGCCATATCTGGGGCGGATCTTCTAATGATGCCTTTTCTCTTTTAGACCAAGTGCAAAAACGCATTGTAAACATAGTTGGACCTGCTTATGCAGCCAACCTTCAACCTCTGT